GCTTTTTTTTTTTTTTTTTTGCTTAAGTGAACTTAAGAGAGACTGCTTTGACAGATTGTATGATAAATACTAACATTTTTACACTATTGGCCTATTTACTATTGACGTATTGCACTTTACTTGAAGCCATTAGGAACGACAAAAACTGCAACATTTTTTTCTTTTACAGATTCCGAGAATTTCGATTTTTTGCAAAATTATTTATTTTTTTGGATGGCTAATAAATAACGTTATGCTTTGCAGATATCTTGAGTATTTCTGATAGGGAGAACAATTTCTGCAATAATAAACCTTACTCTTCTTGCATTCTTTTGGATTTTTTTTATTGTTAGCTCTTTCTTTATTCTTCTATCGATGAATGAAAGGCTGAATAGATTAGTTCATTTTAGTTTTTGAAATAAACCAGACGATGCAAAGCAAATGGCCGTTTTGAGATATGTCTGCATGCAAAATTCAAACTTTCCGCAGCTTTAGTCTAGAAAATTTTTGAAGAAATTTTTTAAAAAATCTGGTATCAAAATTTGATTCTACGTATCACTAGCCACCTTTCTTATCAAAGTTTTTATTCATTTAGAAATAAAATTATCGTATTGCTTCGAAGGTTTAAAATTTCATTTGTCATACTGCTGAAATTTAGTTTTGAGAGGAGACGGTAAAGAACGTTTTGACTTTACGGTTTTGGCGCTTATTTGTTATTTTTTTAATTTTAATTCAATCTCTAAATCTTTCTTTTTAGTTTCTGTTTTACCGTTTCTTTTGACAGCTCATGTCATAGAGCATTCTGATACTACCCAAGAACGTTATTTGAAAAACAACCAGCTTCAGAACTAACCTTGTTTGGTCATTTTTTTCTTGCAGCTGTTTGTTGCTGTTACATGTTGCTTGAGCGGTCAAAGATAATAGCTGTTTTAACCTAGCTCAGTTTAGATTTGAAAAAATGGTGCTGTTTTTGTTGATCACTAATCGCAATTTTTTTTCAAAAGGTTTTTAAAAAGCTAAGTTTTAATGACTACCTAAGTGAAGACTTAAAAAAAATTGATTTTTTTCTTTACTGAAATCGATGAAATATGAGTTTTTAGCTTATCCTGATTGGAAGAACAGAAGTCATATTTACATGGCGTTAGGAACCATTCATTATCTTGGTGAAGAAAATATGACTTGTAATATTCAGCTTTCCATTGCATTTTCAAGACTTAGTAATGCGGATATCTGCAATTAATACAGCTATTTCTGCAGGTATCTTTGGTAAGAGGTTGTTTATGGAAATCAGAAAACATTGTGCGGCAGTTTCTTTCAAAAGTTTTTGTTCTCTGAAGTATTTTGTCCAACCACCGTTTTATAGTAACGGTATCCTAAAGAAGAGTGTAATGTAGGTGTGTCGTTTGCTATGGCTGTTATTTGCTTTGGCATTTGAAGAAATTTGAAAGAAGCTAAAGTATTGTAAGTGGTTGTCTGAAGCTAGAGAGTCGCTCAGAAGCATTAAGGGAATGAGATGTTTAAAGATTCTGCTTCAACATTGTTTATGCTTATCTAATCGATTAACAGTCTGTGGTTGCTCAGTACAGTTATGTTTGTAGTTTGATGCTAAACTATTGTCCACTCCTGCAATCATGTGTGAGGTATTAATTAATCATGAGATAGAATAGGCTATAAAACAGTTATACTCTATTTCAAAGTAAAATTGGTTGAGTACCAAATCTTACTTAAATAACTTTTCCGGAGAGATATTGTTAAAAAAAGAATTGTAGTTCAGATTTGAAGAATGAAATATTATGACAGAGGTAAGTCAAAAGTTTCATAATTCAAGAGTGACCAAGTTTGACGTCTGTTGTAATAAGTAACATATTTTCACTTATTTTCTAACGCTTCCTAGGGTTTGCACATTTTTTTCTTTGGTATTTACTATAAAAGCGTATAAAAGGTTTCTAAACTGAAAACAGTGATGATATACCGGAATACTTTAAGTGATTTTACATCTGCTAATGATGCAGATTTTAAAAAGCATGATGTTTTTCTTAAATTTTAAATTGCCGCAACTATTGTTGGGAATAATTCTTTTTATTTGAATGTGTCAAAAGTTTGTACTAACTCATGGTATCAAGTGCACACTTAGTAAATTGATGTAATTTACAGCACTGATTATATCTTTCTAACTTCTCTTTCTTTTGGCCAGAAACTTAAATGTTTATGAGTTACCAATTTGTGAGACTTCAAAGAAACCTCAAAATTTAATTAGTTTAGCTAATTACAATCAAAAATTGTGAAATCTCATTATAACTTTAATTCTCAGAGACTTTTTTTTCCATTTTTTCTTTATCTTGCAAATTTTAATGGTCTATCATTGAGCTTTTTTTTTTCTATTTTATCTATCTCTTATTATCTTTTCTGTTGTTGTTTTACAGTTTTCAAATGATTATTACTACCTGAAATTTTAGTCATATTCAATCTTTACACATTAAACAAATATTTTTTTTTTTCAAATTTACACATGCAAAAAAAAATTGTTTTTTGTGTTTTATTATTCCACAATTTTCAAAAGTATAATGATATAAGAAAATCTGTCTTTTTCACAGCAACAAGTCAGTTAGTATCTTTTCTTTCTTTATTTGTTTTTTTTTTTT